ACAAAAACTAAATCTTTTAAAAGGGAAGAGAACTGAAGCTGACAAATATTGACCCATTTGTTTTTAACTATAGAACTATCACATTACAGAGACACTTTGAATCTGCTCTGTTAACCTCTTAAAAGCCATCATATATCTTTCTTCTCATGAGGTTCTAGTCCAACTTCTCTCACAATTTTATGTTTTAAAAACTATTGAGAATTTCAGATGGCTTTTGTTTTGTGGCTCTATAATTGCTATATTAGAAATTGAAATGGAGAATTTTTTATTTACTTATCAACCCACTTAAAGTCACTACAATAACTCTATTTCAAACATGGAGAAGTTGAGCTGGTACCCAACTAGAAGCTTCTTCTCTACCGACTAGCAGTTACAGTGCTGGAACATACTGTGTATGCACACTACTAGGGTAGAAAAGTAATCATTATCACCCAGCTATAAACCCTGAGGCTTATAACAACAACCTGCATGCAAGATATACTGGTGCAATAGTGAGATAAACATGGGAGTAACATGATACTTTCTAAAATTATAGATAAAGCCCATTCCATGACATGCAACCCATATGTGATGCTAATAAGTGGCCAATAATCTGAGACTACGTAGGTCTTGAGCCTTAGGGGAAAGCCTACTGCTAATTATTCTGCTAGAGAAAAGTAGCCAAAAAAAATGACGCTTAATGGCATATTGCTATATACATATATTAGTGCCTCCCTCAACCCTCAGAAGCTTCTTTAAGAAGATTGTAATTAACACAGATCCAGAACCAGACAGTGTGATGAGAGTGAGAAACTTTGTAGCACTCAAGCCCTAAATGAGATGTTTTTAATCTAATCCTTCCCGTCAAGGCTCAGGGATCTATGCAGAAGAGTATGAAGAGAGATTGTAACATCTGGGAGTGATGGATAATTCAAAGGAAACAGGCTCTTCTAGATATAACAGACTGCTGCATATGCATGTATGTATTCACAGAAACAGTGGTAACACACGTAAGACCTGCAAAGATTGAAGCTGGATGGATCCCAGCACTGAGCGAAGAGAGTGGGCACAGGGCTCCACCAGTAACCAAGAAGCTATCTCCAATTAGTATCTGCTTGCAAAGGAAAAAAAATCTGTTTTCTACAATGGAGTGCCACTGTCAATATCAACCATACTCCAAGGCCAGGCCCCAAATCTATTTGGTTTCGAGTGGGTTTAATTAGGTATTTTTTTAATCTTTTTTGTCTGTTAGTTAGTTTTTCAGTCTTTAGTTTGAGGGGCAGAGAGAGAGAGAGAGAGACAGACAGACAGAGAGACAGAGAGAATGAAGTTGGTAGTTAAGGTTATTGGGAGTGCATAGAAGGAATTGGGAGAGTGGATATAATATTTTCAAACTATATTGTATGAGAATATTAATAAAATGCTTTTAAATGAAAAATATGACTGAATGGCATTTATTTACACTTTTTACATAGCTTGTTCACACTCAGCTCCACAGACAATAGCCCGATGTTCATCTCTTCATTAACATTTAATTCATTGAAACATGTTGTTTGGAATGAAATGTTTAAAGAAAATTTTCCCTCATGTTAGATGTATTGTTGGAAAATGGAGACACCCAATTCTACTGTGTCCATTTCAGGAACCCAGAGTGATCCTTGAACCCCAGTTGACAATGGTTGGTCTTCATACATCATGAGACATCATCTAATTATCACAAAAAGTATGACAGGGTTTAATAAGTGATACAGAACATGTTTAGAATATAAAATTGGCTGAAAACAGGCAAAAGAATAATTGGTTAAATGCCTGTACTTCAACCACCAAATGTAGAAATAAATAAATGAATGAAAGTTCTTTTTTTAAAGATTAATTTATTTTATGTATATGAGTACACTGTCACTTTCTTAGACACGGCAAAAGAGGGCATCAGATCCCATTACAGATGGTTGTGAGCCACCATGTGGTTGCTGGGAATTGAACTCAGGACCTCTGGAAGAACAGTCAGTGCTATTAACCACTGAGCCATCTCTCCAGCCCATAAATGGATGAAAGAAAAATTTTGAGGTATTGATAACTAGGATGGATATTTGCTTGATAGAAATTATGTTTACTTTGTTTTAGCTTTACATTCTGTAGTTCTAGGAGTCAAAGCTATTATATGATAGGAAACTGTTCTACCACAGAGCTATACTCTGTGCCATAAATTTTTGCTCTTCACAATTTTCTTTGTCATGTAGAATTTTTACAATGGTGTATTGTGGTGTGTGTGTGTGTGTGTTTGAGAGAGAGAGAGAAAGAGAGAGAGAGAGAGAGAGAGAGAGAGAGAGAGAGAGAGAGGTGATATTTAAGTCAAAGATATCTACTAATCTTTTCTATTTAGCCCTACCTACCTTCTCACAATTCCCCACCTTCCCCCGAAGTATCTTTGGAAGATCTTAGAGTTTTCTTAATGGATCCGTACCATCTATTTTCCCATAAGTCTACTTCACTGTTCTCTCTGGGGAACCAGGAGGACAATGTAACTTTCTCCCAAACACCCTAATCCCTCTGGTGTCATAGTGCTCTATGTCATAGTGCTTACTTTGGAATATTTATTTAACTTTGATCATGGTGCTTTTATATATATATTTGAATGCATATATATGCTAATTATTATTTCCTGACAATTGACAGAGTCCTTATCCTCTATTCTCAAGTACACATGTACATTGGTATGCATGAGAACACACATGTACACACATACACACTTTTGACCTACATAGCTACTACAAATTAAATTGAAAGTATAGTAGTTTTTATGTGTGACTTGTAATGTTCCAAAGAAGTCATTTAAACTTATCTGTGCTTTATTTTCTTAGCTTACGATAGAAAAATTACTGTGCTGCATCACAGGACTATTTTGAGGACAAAATAAAAATGCTATATGGAATTAGACTTTGTAACTTGGCACTTCTTGAGCTGGGGGCTTATTCTGATGTCTTTTCATGATTTTTTTCAGAAGGACTGGCTGTCTTGGATAGATTTCAAAAGAGTAACAATTGTAGGACTGTTTATACCATAGCGAAATCTGAAGTCCAAACCTCTTGTCGAGCCTTTGGTTGTGTGATTTTATAAACTTCGATTTCCTCCCTCTCCTACTTACTCCCTGAAGCTTAAAGCTTTGAGATTTTTAAATGAGTCCAACAATAGCTCTTTCCTGTGTTTATCAGAAACTTTCCCTCATCTAATAAAAGCATATTTACTTTTATGAATCTAGCTAAGCTAAGTCATTATCTGTTTAAGATGTAAGACACTGAGGACTATGAGTAAATTCATGTATAAGAAAGTCATGTGTACTCTTCGACATGGTGTTCTTGGTATATTTTTTGGTTACAAATTTGCTCGCACAGACTGTGACTTCTCTTTAGAATTTTTAAATACAACCTCTTTATAAGAATATGATTAGATTAGGATTGCTTTGGCACTTGGCCTTTGCCACCATCACCTTGCAGAAATCCTGTGGTTTGGAGAGCCCTGTACCTTATCTTGGGTTATATTTCACTTGAACCTCTGAGCTGCAGTGTGGCAAACAGAGTTGTGTAATGGACCTGCCAGTACCCTCTGTTCACTTCCACATGTCATATTCTGTGCAAAAGTGTTGTTCCTTGTCAAAGGGTTTCAGAGAAGCAAGCATCTCAAAAGGCTTCCTGCATAGAAGATGAATGTAGGAGGAGCAGGCTGCCACCATTGAGTGAAGTCTGAACTGCAGGTCATGGTTTGTCAGTTAACTCTGCTCTGTCCTAAAACCTGTCTGTCCCCCCTTTTCCAGGTCAAGCTAAAGAGTCAGACTTGGAGTCTCTTTTTTTGAAATAATTATCTTGTGTTCCCTATAACTTAAGAAAAAAGAATTAGATCCTGGAAAGGAGGGAATTCTACCAACTGGATTGCTCTGAATTTGAATCCTGTCCCTTTTTCAAGTGGCTGGCCTACCCTGTAGGCTTTGTCCATGTCAATATCCTCCTCACGTTGACCTACCGTCTCTTTATCTGACTCTACTTGAGAACTCATTCCTCCTCCTGACTCTTATGACCTACGGAGAAAAAAAAAAAGACCAACACGGTCGCAAGAATTAGCATAAAACTCTAATTTTGCTTCTCAGTTGCCCTGACTATAAAGTCAATACAAGATGAATCATTGCCGAATGACTCATAGTTACTGGGAAGCTTATTCTGATTCAATTGAAAGACGTTGTCATATTGCACAGCCTAACATCTGACTGAGGTTTTAAATAGATCTGAAAAAAGATTTGATATGTATGGTTTAACTGCCATCAGCAAGTTAAGCCTCCCAGGTGTGAGCTGTATGTTGACTTATTGTCAGTATTTTATGGGCCTGTGCTCCTATTTCTCTGTCAATAAGTTCCTCTTTCTAGTGGAGACCTAGATAATATCAGAATGCTTTTGAGGGAGACCTGGGGTTCTTCATGTATCCTCTTTAATTTCCATGACCTCTGAAAACTCCTGTGTATTCTAGACTTCTGACTCCCTGGAAAAGCTTGACAGGTCCTATTTTGTGACTCTTCCTTTCACATACCTACACATGTGGTTTCTTATTCCTTCTAACTTGCATTGTTTTTATAATTGTAATTTTCCAATTCTCTGCATATACAGTGGCTTCTGATTCTAAAATATTTACAAGTACTGTTGACAACAGAGATACCTTTTGGTTATTCTGTTCTGTACTAGCATTTAGATTTTTATATGGTAAGGGTCCCAATTTCAGAGACAAACCACTTTACTCTGTTTAACTTGTCACCAAATGTATTTGCATGAAAGACTATTTTACTGGAGATGTCTATGCCAAAAAGTTGAACAAGCTTCTGTGGATACAGGTGCCAGAAACTTGAGTGTGTGTTAAATATCAGTTACTTATATATCAGTAGCTATTATGATTTTGCTCTTTAAAAATTGCCAACTTCACAGATCTAACAAGCTTTACACTGTTGTAAATGTTTACTTCTAAATATATTTATCTCACAGGGAAAATCATACCCCTTCAGGGGCCCATTCCCACCAGTATGGAATCCAATCACCTACCTAGATTATAACAACTTATGGAGGACAATGGATGAGATGGGCCAAGAGGTAACAATTCTAAAGCTATTTGGCTACATATGTATTTATCATTAGTTCTCAGAAGAAAAGGTGCAATGTATCAGTAATCCCACATGCATAGCCTAGTGTCCAACACATACTAACAATTAATGAACATCAGTGAAATGAATCAATGAATCTGTGTCTAACTTCTAAAAGAATGAGGGATATCACACAGACTTATTTATATACACTTGATGGGCAATTAGAGAAGTATGAAGCCAGTAGCCTTCCTGGGATGATATTTCTAACTTAGAAAATCCCCAGGACACAGAAGTTTCTTTGATTCTCTAGCACATCCAAAGTTGAAGCCCGTGAGTAAATGAGTAAATAAATAGATGGAAACTTTAACTGAAAACTCTTCTGATTTTGAGACAATTAGCAGCCGTTCTTTGATCCTAATTAAAGAGCTGAATTTATGAGTGACCTATGTAAGTTGTTAACTTAATTGCCTTTACCTGTAGCTTCACTTTCCATAGTTGCTTTCATCTGTGACCAACTGCAGTTGGAAAATATTAAACAATATTTCAGAAAAAGAGACTCTATTCACAGAACTTATTACAATACATTGTTATAGATGTTGTTTTATTTTTGCTAGTATACTGCTGTGTATAGTGTAACAATTAAATTTTATTGTAACACATTCATATAAGAAAAATATATTTATTCTGAAGGACCATTATTATAAACTGAGTCCTATAGATCTGTGACAGAAGAAGCACACCGGCATTGAGGTTTATAGTACTTGAGAAACTATTAAGGGTACTTGGAAAAATTAAATTTTAAACATTTTCTTCTTTGAGTTAGACCTTTACTGTTGTTCAAATAATGTTTGCTGAATGAAAAAGTGTGTTTTTCTTTCTTCCTTAATGCATCTGAACGTAGATTCCCAGTGATGCTCCATGGAAGGCACCCCTTGCAGAGGAGTGGGACTACATGACAATGAAAGAGTTGTTAGATAAGATCTGCTGGACCAAGTAAGCTCTTTGATTGGGCAAAAGCATTTATTGCAACAATGCATGGGGTTTCTTTAGGTATGCCATTTAACAGGCATGAGGCAAGGAAGTATCTACTTTATGTATAAACCCACACCACTGGCTACATGAAAAGTTGAAAGATACTGAAACTAAGTATTCCTTTAAAGATAGATCTATTTTATTACTTTGATGTAGTTTTGCACCACCACAGTGCTATTTTCCCCAAAAAGTCCTCAGAAAGATTTAGAATAAGCCGTCTTTTTTTTTTTATTTAGACTGTTTTAAAGATCAGTGGTTTAACAGTCTCACTTACTAGGTTGTTGATATAGGACTAGTGTGGTATTCCTCAGTGGTGATGCATATAGCATTGGCATTTGAAACATCATTTGTGATATAGTGCAAATCTTCAATATTTTAAACAGTGACTTCTAGGTAATTCATACCTATTGAAGAAATGAGTGAGTGGGCTTACTTGTCCCAATTAGTCAAAACCCTGTAGTGTTGAAAGCAAGTATTTGTGAGTCAAGGTTGAAGTTCCAATTTGCAGCAGGGAAAGTGGAAAAGATTGCAGGACTGCAAGTTCAAGCCAACTTGAGGCCCATGAGTAATAGAACTGGGTGCCAAGTTCAAGAGTACTGTCTTGTAGTCTTGTAATGCTAAATCACATTTCTTAAAAATCTATTTGGCTCTGAAGTTGGTACTTTCACATTCTGTGTGTTAAGGAAGGAAATGATAGCACTGACCACTTAAAGTAAAAACAATGTTTTAGACGTATCTGAATCAATAGACATGTCTGAATAACAAGACAGGCTTGTTAATTCAACTTATAATTCATCTTAAAGACAGCAGAAACAAGAGAGAAAGAGAGGGAGGGAAGGAGAGAGGGAGGAATGTGTGTAAAGGGCACACAAAAGATGGGATAGACTAGAGATTTTAAAATCATGTTGTGGAACAATACATAGTAGTTTAAAATATAATATTAAACACATAAAAAAGCAGGCTTTTATAGAGCAGAAATGGTGATATATGCAATCCCCCTCTGAGAATCATATTATTTATAATTTGATTTACAATGGACAACTGCCAAATATTTCCTGAAAATGAATGGTACAATATAAGTATCTATTACTGTTCTGTTGGATACTTTCACTACCTCAAGGTTTACATCATAATCATCATTATATAATATGCCGCATATTATGTAACATGCCTTTGAAAGCACTCTCCATTCTGAAATGATCATTTGAGCCATGAATTTTAGTATATCATATATCTTTTTAAAAGTCAACAAGGCAAAAGTTACAAAATCTGATTATACAAAACTGCTTGACCTTAAATGCTGTAAAGCTCATTTCTTTTCTTACTGAAGCTCCAGAGTTTAATGCCTTTTGTGCACTAAACTATTTAAGAACACTTATCTATGCTATTAAAAACTTATATCAAGTTTATAATAGAATTATTTTTATTGTAATACTATTCCATTTATTTATGAATGTTCTAGATTTCCAATCTAAATTTTTTCTAGATCTTCTGTGATGGAAAGCTTTTAATAAATTCAGTTTGATCTTTGTCCCCAAAGAGCTTGTAGGTGCCTTCAATATCGGACCAGTTATGTTTCTTTGAGATCATGGAGATCTGCGATTTACTGCCACAGCCTTGACCTTGGCCTCCATTTAGTGAATACCCTTGTTTGTCAACTCACCAAAAAAATGCTGAGACATTTAAGTAAACAAGAATCAGAGCATTTTCTAATTATTCATAAGCAAGAGATGCATAAGATCATTTGTTGACTTTACAGAAAACAACACAAAGAATAACTAATCTATTCTGATTCAAAGTAAATCGCAAACATATTCAAAGACTAATGCTGATCATTTCTCTAGTTGGAGTTTATAAAATGTTGTTTAGAAGCACAAGATGTATTTTCAATGTGATCATAGACATGCAATTGCCTTTTAGAAAAACTATTTCTAAAAAAAATGACACATAAAATGAGACTTATATTGCCTTTTAGGTGAAAGAAATATGGAAAGTACTCATTGACTCTTTCTTATCTTAAGAATTTCCAAAGCACATCTAATATGTATGTATTTTTATAGAGAAATTTAGTATATCATATATCTTTTTAAAAGTCAACAAGGCGAAAATTACAAAATCTGATTATACAAAACTGCTTGACTTTTCCTCCTTGAAATGCTGTGAAGCTCATTTCTTTTCTTACTGAAGCTTCCAGAGTAAGTCAAACAGACTAGAAATGGACCTGCCTGACACAGAGAAACACACTTACCCTGCTTTATCTGCAGCTTCCATTAATCAGCATTAGTCTTTCTCCAGAAAGAACATTTTTCATCATGTGAGGCATAGACTACATTCAAATATATTTTATTATTTTATAATTTGTGATTTCTCATCTTATTATTAGCTATTGCTAATTTCTCATTGTGCCTTAATAACAAAATTAAAGGACTCTATAGTGGTCAGAGTAAACCCAAATCTTCAGACATAATGGGTAAGCTGCATCTCTAGATCATAAATTAAATGTTATCATAGGTTTTTTTAAAGTAAAATGCAATAGAGAGATGGTTGGAGAGATGGCTGAGCACTTAAGAATGGTTACTGCTCTTGTAGATGATGTGGGTTCAGTTCAAAGCACCTACATCAGTTGACACATGACCACCTGTAACTCTGCTTCCAGGAGAGCTAACAGCCTTTTCTGGCAGCTGTGGGAACCTGGGCATATGTGGTGCACATAAAACACTCAAGACTTCTGGGAGAAGAAAGATAGAGAAAGAAATTCAAGTTGATTTCAAAAGTCTTGACTTTAACTACTTAGTGTGTGCCAATGCCTTTTACCAAGATAAATATTGGGGGAAGACAAGCAGGTGTGTAGGAACAACTGATAACACAGAATATGGGCAAAGTCAATTCTGAATAAGGTGTTTTGTGTAAGGAGGCATAAATACCATATTTCCTAAATCCATGCCCTCATGTTTTTGTGATATTGAATTCCAGAAGTTTGCTAAATTGTGCTAAATGTTGCCAAGAAAAATATTACTTGACTACTATAGAATCTTAGGAAGACTGTTCTGCATTTGCTAATCATATTCTTGTTTCTTCCTGAGCAGATCTACAAAGCAGATTGCCACACTGTTTGTGAACTTATGTGTAACTGCAGAGACCCACGAGGTCTCTGCACTGTGGTTCCTATGGTATGTGAAGCAGTGTGGAGGTACAACCAGAATCATCTCAACAACCAATGGTGGACAGGTACCCACTCCCCCAACACAAAACCACTACACATAAATGGCTGTCATTCTGCAATCATTAAATGGTGGTGCATGAGACAGACTTGTGGTTTGTCGTACTTTACTGTAGTAGCTTCAGATAGCTTTCAAAAGGGACAATCTGTTGTTAGGTATCCAGTAGCCAGCATAATTTTACGACTCAGCTCCTCAAAAAGTTCAAACAAGAGAGATACAAAATACACTTGAGTTTTAAAGAATATGCCATGCTTTGGGCTGTAGCTCACAGATAGAACACTTCACTACTACGAACCATGTTCGGGATCCATCCTCAGAATTAATAAAAAAGAGAAATAAAGAAAGAAGAAAAGAAAGGAAGGAAGAATGTTTGAAAAAAATCACTACATATATGAGAATTTATTCTTTTTTTATTATTTATTCAATGCTTCTTCTCTGAGCATTTTTAAGGCATGCCCCTCATTAGGCAGTCTATAAATAGATTGAAGTTCTTAATCTCTTTGGTAGTCATGTTCCTTTCCTTCTCATCCTCTTTACCTCTCAGACTCTCTTCTGCCTCCTCCTCTTTCCCTCCTTTTTTGTGGGCCTGTTTGAAATGGTCTTTAAAGTTAATTGGAGAACCATGAGATATTCAGCAGGTAAAAGAGCCAAAGGATGTAGGTAGTGCCCAGAGCAACATGGTGACCAGGCCCTAGGGACATAAGGGTTATTCTGAGAATGTCCAGGTCAGTTTGGAGCCCTGGAATCTGCAGTAGTATAACTTTAAGGTCAGTTAGTAAGCCTATAGGTTTGTCAAAAAGTAACATGTAATTAGAGAAAAATTCAAATAGTGATAATAATGTAAGTAAAAATATCCCCAACAACAAGTTATAGGACATTATTCCCAACAATAAATTGAAATTTATATATCTTAGAGGAGGGATAGCCAGGAAAAAATATCCACTTAGCTGTTTGTATCAATTCCTATATTGCCCATCTGCCTTGAATCCCATTTTCTTCTTTCCAGGAGAGGAAATTTATCGGTGGGTCCGGTCAAGTGAGTGAGCGGATAAAGGATATCCTTGGGGACCGAGTGAAGCTGGAGAGGCCTGTGATCCACATTGACCAGACAGGGGAAAATGTTGTTGTGAAAACACTAAACAATGAAATATATGAGGTAAGCAAGACTTTCAAAGTCAGGGAAAGAGATTGAGGCCCACGTGTTAGGAAGATGATAGGAGGCCAAAGACAACCCAGACTTCATAGAGTCTATTTGCCAGAGCTAGCTACATTTATCTAAAAGGAAAAAAAGGAAATGAAACTATTTAAGAGGAGAGAGGTTTGGAAATGTTCTTTCACTTGATTGCCAGGATGGGGGATACCCAGGGGAACCTCGTCCTCTCAGAGGAGAAAGGGAGGGGATGGAGGAGGGACTGTGATGGGGGCCCTGTAGGAGAAGGAGGCAGCAATCGGGATATAAATTGAATGAATAAATAAATTAATGGAAAAACAAAAAAGAACATGTACTCTCTTTAATAGGCCTTTGGGTAATTATAAAACCAAAATAAATACTTAATAAATATCAATCACGGCTTATGGCCCTGGCTTTATTTTGAGAGTTGAGAATTTTCTGACTTTACGTTTTCAATTTAGTAAAAGCTTACAGCTGAAATAAACTATATAGTTAGAAGGTAAAGTGGGTCTAATAGTGAGAAGTAGTGAGAAGAAATTAAGCAGGAAAGGAGAAGGCATCCCCTAAGGTGTACTGGACTGAAGCACCACAACCCTTCAAATAAGCTTGTAAGCAAAGCTCTTACTGAGTCAGGTGAGTCCAGAGCTGAAGAAGATGAGTGACTGTGGCCTAAATTGGGAACATGTCTGGACTGACCAAGCAATGCCAGGCAGCCAAAAATTGCAAACAAAAGAAATGCTGAGACACTGCCAAAGATAGTTGGTATATCTAGGTTGAGTATTGGGTTACACTTCTGATTGTATGGTTATCTTGTTACTGAGTATTACCGAACTTATAGAGCTGTTGATTAACATTTAAAAAAATAAATAAAAATAAGGAAGAAAGAAAGGAAGGGAGAGAGGGAGGGAGGGAAAGAGAGAGAAAAATAAATAAATAAATAAATAAATAAATAAATAAATAAATAAATAAATGTGTCAGAGTAAACCTTACCCAGGGTTAGGCATACAGGCACTTCCACAACTCACAGCAGTGGAAGTGGCCTTAGCTGACCCAGAGGCCCTAGCTACCTATAGGCACAGAGAGTTCCATATAAAATGCTGACCCAGGGGGTTGTTTCAACCTTGGTCAGAGAAACATCTTTTTGTAATGGGCAGCAGTCAATATAGGGACTCATTCTTAAATGGCACAGCTTTCTCAGGATTCCTCACCCCACTGTAGGTTCAGGGAACATAGAAGAGGAGGAAGAAAGAATATAAGAGGCAGAGGATGGATGAGGAAGAGTATCGTGAAATGTTGTCTTCTGGACATGACATGGCTATTGCACGACAGCAGCTGAGACTAGCTGCTAAGTCTTACACAAGATCAAGCCAGTCAAAATTATAGCATGGATGAGGAAATTCACAAGAGACACTAGCCCTCACTGAGTAGCTATTGGCAGTTGACAACTACTGGAGGAAAAGAATCATTACACTTTGGGAAAGACAGGTGGCCACTTGTAGGTTACTCATGTTCCAGTGGATAGCCTGACACCCATGAACAAAGGAACAACACACAATGGAGTTAGGAGATTATGAAACAAAGGGGGAGAAGTGAGCAGACAGATAGACTTGCCTTTGCGCCAATCTAATAGCATTCAATTGATGTTCTCTCTTCCAAAATGATCCTAGTTGTGTCAAGTTGACAAACAAGTAGGGAAAAAAAAAGAAATACTGAGACAAAGCATAAGAGGAAGTTGGATGGAGAGGTAACAGGAAAGGCATAAGAGGTTTCGAACTAGGGAGCAGTAATGAATGCTTTACCTTTTAACTGGGTCCTTCTGGCTTCACTGTTAAGCTATGGAAGGGGAGCAAGGGTAGATAAATAGAGGATTAAGAAAATTGTTTACCACAGGCCAATGGTGGCTAATGACATTTACTTTTCTTTCAGGCGAAATATGTGATTAGTGCCATTCCACCTGTTTTGGGCATGAAGATTCACTATAACCCTCCTCTGCCCATGTTAAGAAACCAGCTGATCACTCGCGTGCCTTTGGGTTCAGTCATTAAGTGCATAGTTTATTATAAAGAGCCCTTCTGGAGGAAAAAGGGTAAGTTCATTCTTGACATAAAAACTTACTAGAGAAGGTCCAAGAAACTTTGTATCAAGATCATGTATTTGGATACTGTTTGTATTGGAATCTGGACAGAAAATTTATGATCCTCTGGTCTCTCCCTTCTGAGTGCTAACATGGCGGGTGTGTGACACTACCTCTGACTATTACAGGTTCTGTGTATAATTTTTCCAAATAAAAGGTATTGGCACAAACACATGAATTATTTTTCCTAGAACTCTGATCCATTCTTCAAATAATTTAATATTTAAATTATTTATTATTTTAAGTTTAATTTTTTCCCAAGCCCCATGAGGACATGTGATTTTATTTTGTAATATATTTTTCAAACACACAGATTTAGAAAGCTAGGGATTTATGAATGGGGATGTAGATCAATGATTGAATGCTTGCATAGCACGTACAAGACTCTGTGTTTTATCCCCAGCTACACACACACACACACTCACACATGCACACACACATACACACACACACATGCCGGCAAATATGAAAATTTTCCGGTGACCTTTTATTAGTGTCAAGATCCTGCTAAATTAAATAAAATTCATTTCTTCATCCATGTACGCTTATGCTCCTTCACCAATGCATGGGGATGCTCACAACGGCTCTGCATACAACATTGTTTGAAATACTCCCGATGTGTTCTGTCCAATATTCTTACCACTAGCCACATGTGGGTACCAAACACCTGAGATGTAGCTGATGACAGTGAATTAACAATTGTTTTTCATTTTAGTTGCTTTAAATGAATATACACACACATATGCATATATGTACATATATGCATACAAACATGGAGCTAGTATCTGCTGCCTTGGATAACATGTAAACATATACAATCATTTCTGATTTTTTCCTCTGATCGAATCTGCTTAACTTCCAAATGAAGCCCAGGAAAGAGTAGCAATCCTTGAGGCTGAGGATAAAGGGCAGGGTGGACTAGAATGAGGAGAAAGAGTGTAGATGTAAGATTAAGACTGCTGTAGACAATTGGGCTAGCTACCATCACAATTTGGTTATGAGGACAGTGCATCCTGTAACCAGACAGCTCTCTGTATCCATGGGTTCTGCACCTGCACACCCAGCCAGGTACAGAGGAAGAATATTCAGAAGAGAATTATACTTGTCCTGAACATGTGTAGGCCTTTTTTTTTCTTATTTCCTAAACCATTCAGTATAACAGCAGTTTATGCAACATTTCTATCCTATTAGGTACTTTTAGTAATCTCAAAATAATTTATCATATATAAGAGAATATGTTTACCATATGGGAAGGACTTGTACCCATGGACTTTGGCTCGCCTGGGGGTTTGTGGAGCAAATCCTTCTAGATGCTGAAGAACAAACAACTGTTAACCATCCTCAACCACACTTCAGTCTCTTAACTCCCCACCTTCCAAAGAATACTGCTTAGTGCTCTAGTGACACATCCACTTAGCAAGTACTCTACCCTTTGAAAAGGACTCACATTGAAAAGCTTTTGTTTTCCCTTCGTATCCAATGGCAACAGCTTAAGGGAGCCAGGCTTCTTTCTCCTGAGACTCAGGGCGTGAATTTCAGG